TGATGAACAGTAAGAGAAGACTTCCAGATAAAGGCTTTTCCACATTCACCACATACATGGGGTTTGTCGCCTGTGTGAATTCTCTGATGTGCTATAAGGCATTTCTTCTCGCTGAAAGCTTTACCACACTCACCACATACACAGGGCTTTTCTCCTGTATGAGTTCGTAGATGACTTTTGAGATGTGCTTTCCGAATAAAAGCTTTGCCACATTCACCACATACATGGGGTTTCTCCCCAGTATGACTTTTCTGATGAATAGTGAGGTACCGCTTCCTGGTAACGGCTTTTTCACATTCAGTACATACATGAGGTTTCTCCTCAGTATGAATTTGCTGATGAGCAGTGAGATCACTGTTCCTGGTGAAGCCTTCCCCACATTCACTGCATACACAGGGCGTCCCTGTCACATGAGTTTTCTGATGTTCCTTGAGGTATGATTTACTGTGATAAGCTTTGCCACATTCCAAGCATTTATATAGTTTTTGTCCTTTATGGTCTTTTTGATAATGTTCATTGAGTTTGAACATTTTATCCAATTTTTCCCCACACTGACTGCATTCATAGGTCTTATGTAGTGTATGAATGATCTGATGCTCATAGAGTTCAGACTCCTCAATGAAGGTTGTCCCACATTTATAGCACTGCTCCGTTCTGTCCATGTAACTTTCATGTTGCAAGTGATCGAGCTTATGATCACCAACTTTCTGGATGTCTATAAAAGAAGAGAACATTGAATCTTTCCATCATCTTGATTTACAATGGACCTCTTAAAATATGCATTGATACAAGGTAAATCTTTAGTGACAACCCTCTTATATGAATGCAAATAAAACACTATGCTTAAAGTTTCTTGCCTATTGGAAGAAATACAATCATGTAAACAAGCCAAATGATAAAAATAGTTATTATAGAAACAAGGTTGGTTATTGAGTTAGTTAATTGTGCCAGCCTGGCCGATAATCACATATGGGGCTAATTGAAAGGCGGAGGGATAAGTGGGTGGTGAGCCTCACCTTTCTAGTTCTCGGGTCTCTTGTTTTCTGATGGTTGCACCAGGTGCAGCTGCCTTAGCAGTTCACTGCTTCAGCTTGCAAGATTGACTTCCTACAAGACATCCCTAAGGAGAAGCTACATGGACCTACCCCGATGCAGCCCTGGGTGCTGGAGCAGCCGTGTGGAGACCCCTGCTAGTGCTGAGATGCTTGTTCGTTCACTGACTCAGCTTTCCTCCTGCAGTCGGCATCATTGCCTCGGTTTTGTGAGGTGAAGGACTTTGTGGACTGGTGTTGGGTTAATGGTTTAATATTGGACTTGTGGGCTTTGGAAGCACTGGTTGGGATGTTTTCGTGATGCACATTTTATTTACATAAAACTCTCTCTTATCCATGAGTTGCTGTGGATTTGTTTCTCCAAAGTACCCAGACTAATCCAGTTATGAAAGTAATGAATGAACACAGATTTGGTATTTGCTTAAATGAGGCCATGAAAATATACAACAAATGTAATACAAACAAGATATTGAGACCAATAGACCAAAGGAGTGGTGAGGTTCGCTAATTTAAGTTGGTAGATGACAAATGTATTCATTCCATCAATCTTTACTGAGAGACAACTAAGTGATAAAGTTGGGAATGTGAAAAATGCAGAATGTTCTACTTGGGAGAAAACCGTTTTTACTGGTATTATGCTACAGAAACATTCTTTATGTTTATTGAGCCTGTATTCTAGCTTATACCACCCATCTTTCAGTGTTGTCCTGTGATGGCTAGCCTATTGTTGTAATGCTAGAAGTACTGCCACCCAGTGTTTCAAATACAAGCAGAATCACCCATGGTGCACAGGTCTTAGTGGACTCTCCAGAAATAGGGACTGGGAGGAAGACCTGGTGACCTACTTCTGGAACACGAACCCCTCAGATTTAATGGAAACAAAATAACACTGAAGAAGTACTAAATCCTCAAAGTACCATCAACGGTAATGATGTGGATGGAGGAGAGCTTTGGAGACCTTAAGTGGTTGACATGTCATGACTGAAAATGAGAAAAATAGCTGCATGCATCCTCTAATAACTGGAAGACAGAGTATATGACGTATTATCAATAACAATTGCAAGTTGTCAAAACAAATGGAATGTTTAAATATTGATGTTATATGGCTTATTAAACTTTAATAGACTGGTACTGGCTATTTTAAATTAGGTAATCAAGTGATGTATAAGGCTGAGATTGACAAATTCAAGAATACTGGTGTCATATTCATCATCAAAAAGTATATTGCAAGATCTTCTCTGAAGTACAATTCTGCCTGTGGTAGGTTGATATTCATATGCTTGCAAGTTAAGACCAGTTACTACAAGTGTTATTTAAATTTGTGCAGTAACTGTTAAAGCAAACATAAAGTGTCCGATTTAGCCCCACAGCCAAAAGGGCCCTTAGGAACAGCATGTGCAATTAAGGAAGATAAAGCAGACAGTAAAAATGGGGTCAATTGGCCTCATCTCCGATGCCGGAATAAAATAGCGTGGTCATTTAATAGTGAGTTTATATAGTAGCAAGGTGTGGAAACCTCAAGAAGGCACACACACAACAGAACAGACAAGTGTAATTGTGGGAATATCCTGAATTCTTTTAGAACCCTTCGTGATAAGTATCAGGCTGTGGGACACTGAGGACCAAGAAAAGTGGATGAAGACAAATGATTTATTCTCAGAATCAAAGAAGATTGCAAGGCCAGGTATCTGGGAAGAGGGAGGCATTCATATTTGTAAATTGGAAAAGAGTCCCAGTCATATTCTATGAAATAAAAATCATCTCCACAATATCCCCTCATTATAGTGCTATCTTAATAAAACCTCATACAAGTGTATGCTAATTACTATTTGCCACCAGCTTTAGCTCTAAGAGAAGACTTGTTGTTATTGGCCTCCCCACTCAGGGGACAGTTACTCCCCTCCAGCTGCCCTCGGCACTTGTCTTAAGTTGCTCACCCAAGTAGTTCAGGGACCTCAGGGTAAAGATACTGCCTACCTTGCTAGATACATAGGTGTCTATGTGTGTGTGTGTGTGGGGGGGGGGTTGTATGTCCCCAGATTTTATGCCATACATACTCGAGTATAAGGCAACCCAAATATCACAAAAACTGTATTTTCCCACAAAAACTACATAAAAACATGCTGAAAACCTCGGCGAATACACGAGTATATACAGTACATTGGTGAATGAATACACTATCTCTCCATCCTGCTCAGACTTCGCATCCTCAAAGAGAGGTGAGTGCCTAAATACTTCTGTCTGCCTTTTTAGTTCTGCCTTTCAAGCACACAACCTTCCCTTAGGACTCATCCAGAAGATATCTAAGAGACAAAAGAATAGTTGATTCCTTGAGTGATAGCAACAAAAGGAACCTAATTGCTTCTAAAGCTAGGCATCTTTTAGCTGAACAGCAAGAAGTCAGGCACCTGTAGGAGCTGTATACTAACATCCTAGTGGAGGGAGGGTAGTTGTGGAGAAAACTCTATCTGGAGATTGTGGATTATCAGCTCTAGCTTTATCCTTGGGGCTTGTGGAGCTTTTCTTCTAACACTAGGACTGGTCTTCCAAGCCCTGTGGTCAGGAGTATGGAGAAAAGGCTGCTTAAACTTTGATCCAGGTTCTGTTTCCACAATAAAGTAAGTGAGGGTAGGAGAGGAAGGGGATAATGGGGAGCTGATATCAAAGAGTTCAAGAAGAAAATGTTTTGAAAGTGTGGTAGCAATTATAGAGTACTGCTTGATGTGATTGAACTATGGAATGTTACAATGTCTGTAAAATCTCCCAATAATATGATTTTTAAAATATATATTGAAAATTTGCATAACTTTCGCAACCTGACATTGATCAACCACACAATCATGTGCACTGATGAATATAAATTTTGGGAACAGGGCGGCTTGGGGGGAATATGGCGACCCGATAAGACGCATCATCCAGAGCTCGTGCTGCCAGACCATAAAATTGGGAGGTAAGGCGAAGGGAACGGGGAGGTGGCGTCCAGAAATTAGAAATGGGGTACTAGGGTCTCTCCTGAATCTCTTTTTTGGGCGCAATTTCCACTCACAAAGTTAACCGAGAAAGCTTTAAAGCGCACTAGCTTCTCCGAGCCCG